GAGGTAGAAATCAATATGCCTAAAGCAGAATATCCTTTCAGTATGATGCTTTATTCTTTGAAACACTGTCAGTTCTACATCAGATTGAATAGAACGTATGCCTTTCAAAGGTAAAGCACATGTCCCAGTATTTTCTTTTTCACATTCTCAGAAAGTATATTTGATGGGTCTTTGTATTTTACTGATTTTCACTATCATGCTTTTTTCCCTGTCTCTTTGTCTTTATAAAAACTTGAACACTGTGTTCTTTTGTGAACCTCCTGGGTTAGTTAATAATGAGCTTTTGGAGTAATTTTGTGATGCTCAACACCTTTAAGACAATTTAACATTAATCTATGTTTTCTCCATTAGTAAATAATTGCTGGATATTTCAAAGACTGTAGTCCACTTTATATTGTTAGTGATTCTTGATTCTTCTGGCATTAGTACAGCATATAATTCAGCCTCAATCTTCCAAAATCTGTCATTAATCATGCCTAACTTGTGATTTCCTAGACTGGTATGGCATTCTATTTTTCTTAAATGAAATCATACTTTGTTTTCTAATTGGAACTACAGTATTATCTAGTTTAAACATAGTGAAATGTGTAAGTTTTATTTGAATATAGAAAAAAATACTTTATTTTCCCACAATGGGGAAATTGTGAAATATGAGCAAAACAGTAGAACTCTGCAAAAAAAAAAAAGAAAGCATTTTAAAAGAAAAATATAATTTCAGATTTGTAAAGACATCCTAAATAAACAAAAAGTACATATATACACATTAAAATTTCAGAATTCTACCTAAAATGGTTGATTTATATATTTTTATTTGTCAAGTTTTGCCTCCACAGCATAAGAATGAACGTGTTACATATTCTAACTACAGCAAAACAATCATTAACGGAGGAGCAGACTGAAGACGAAGAGATTTTTGTGTTACAACTGTGAATTTGATTGCGGTTTGTACAGAAAGGTTTTAGTGATGTAATAAACCAAGATAAGTCATTGCTTTGGTGCTTGCCTCTGAATTCAAAGTTCAAATACACATCCCTCAGCATGAGCTTTACGTAACCATGTATATAATGGGCGGTAGGTTTAAATGGGGTTTCTAGGTTTGCTATAGTCTTTCCAAGTAAAGTTGTTATCTCTTTGTCTGTAAACTTGTTCTTAGTTGAATCAGTGGCTGTAATTGGTTCACTTTGTGGCTGTGTCTTTGAGGAGATATATAACAGAGTTTTCTGAGGTCTAAATGAAATGTTTGAGACATACTTTGATCAATATATTACAGCGAGACAGAAAACAGCTTCTAGTTAAGAAATAAATGTGTCTAGCTCAATAATTCAGTCTTTCAATCCTTGCAATGACTCTGCTCGCCCCCACCTCTTCAGCAGAGCACGGGTCTTTCTATATAAAAAGGATTCTTAACTTTAGAGAAGAATGTACAGTAAAGAAGTTAATTTCAGCAAATATCAAAGCAAGTTTAACTGGCAGCTTCATTCGTAGATGTACACTTGTTTGATTTGACCAAAGGACTATTGATCCATCTGTTAGATTTTCCAGCCTGCCTAAAACTACAGCTATGCAATTACAAACCACTGTGTTACATGCTGTCTGCTTTGGAAACTTCAGCTGCCAGCAGCTCTTTATATTTTCATCACATTTGTGTAGCAAAATAAATTAAAATTTCTGAATCCTGAGTTAAATATGAGGTATTTAGATTGTTTTCTTGGCTGGGGTCTTAGTGAGTCATTGTGTGGCCAAATGTTAATATGTTTTAATCAACTATTGGCTCAGAAAATCTGACCAGTTTGTGCAGAAAAGGCTAGAGAAGAAGGACCTTTATTATTCTTCACTGCCTTTCGTTTTTACTTAAACAGATTCAATTCTCCTAGTGCTTCATTTATTCCAAGCTTCTTGAATCTACCTAAAGATATTTTTCTTGGAAAGTGTTGTTTATTTTGGGAAGGGAGTATTTGAAAACAAAGTCACTGAATTGGACCTGAACTGAACCTAAAGATTGGTCTTAAAGGGAATTGAATGCAGTAAGTTGACGACAGTGCGCTGCATTGTGGCGAAAAGCAAAATAAATTAAAAAGGTGTTTAAGATAGCTGGTAGAAATGGCTTGACATCAGATTGAGGAAGAGGTAAAAGCTTCAGTGGGAATGTGGACAGATGGAAGTATATCACAGCTGCTGGGAAAAAAAGAAAAGCACAAAAAAAGAATGTTCTTATACCAGCTGGAAGGAAAATAGAAGCTGTGAATTCTGCTTACAGAAGAACAAGGAAAAATCCATGAGAAACAAACAAAAAAATTATGGCTTTGAAGAAATGGAAGTTCAGGAGATGAAAATGACAAGCTTAGTATTTAGAATTAGCCGCTGTCCTCAGCAACATCACAGAGGGGTTCAGGGAATAAAATAATTGAAAAGATCAGGTTTATCTGGTCAAATGTGTTGTAAAAGAAGAAAAACACAAAAAGATTGCTTCTTCCTTTCTGCTTTTTCTCTCATGAGCAACGTGTCACTTCACAGTCATCATACAACAAATAATACAGTTCTTACAGTCACTCAGTTTCTACATTTAATTATTTTCATCCTAGGTTTTGTACATATTGCTTGTCATTTTGTATAGACAATATTACATAGACAGATTTTTGCACACATTGATTTTTGCCACATTACCAGCAACAAGACAGACAGACAGACAGACAGACAGACAGACAGACAGACAGACAGACAGACAGACAGACAGACAGACAGACAGACAGACAGATAGACAGACAGACAGACAGACAGACAGACAGACAGACAGACAGACAGACAGATAGATAGATAGATAGATAGATAGATAGATAGATAGATAGATAGATAGATAGATAGATAGATAGATAGATAGATAGATA